GCTGTGATTAGTGGGTAAAAAATTGTTATAAAATCGAACATATTTTGCCAGCAAGTTTCGACATTTTTAGTTAAGTTAGGCGTTAATAAACAGTTTCAGAGGAGTGATCATAGGGCTCTGCATCAGCAGTGCTGTGTCTATCTCCCAGATCAGCTTCTCTGATTGGTTGATGTCTCGCATCCAGCACCAAAGGTTAAATTTTTCCAACTCCATCAGCTGCTGCTTCAGAAGCGCGTTGCACGTGTCAGATGCTTACAAGCTCACTAGGTGTTGCTTCAGTTGCTGCGCGTCAACCGTTGACTTTGCATGTTAACCAGCTGCTTCTGCTGCCCTTCAGCGTGCGGTCTGAAAGTAGCATTAAATCATGAGATGGCGGCCATCTTGAAAGGATACTTCCAACATTCGTCTGTTAGCGTATAGCCCATCATAGTGGGATATGCCCAGCTGAACCTTATTCTGGATCACAACAATAGTGCAAATAAAGAAAACAACAAGGCCATAGTGAACCAATGATACCAAATCATCTTAGAGGTGGTAATTCAATTTGGCACGATAGGCGTGAGTGACGACCAGCAGTATATTAGTGTATTGGCTTATTGTTATGGCTATGTATTCTTTTTAGTCGCTGTCCTGTCTTTGCCAACTGTTCCCCTGAAGATTTGGAATAAACCGATCCCCCCCCCTATGGAGTGACTTTAGCTCCATTATTTAAAGAACATCTTTAGAAAATGGAAATAAAAAAAAAGTGATCTGAGAAGTGCAGCTTGAAAAAAAATACAATCTGTAAAATTCAATATGAAAAACAAAGTTTGAAAATATAAAGTCAGTGTTTTTTTTGGAAAAATTTTTAATTTCTATGTTTTTTTACAATAATTTTGCTTTTTTAAATTTAAAATATGATTTTCTTTTACTTACATGTAGATAATGTGTTCTTTACTAGCATTGTTACATCCCCAAGATGGATGGAATTATGTAATTTTGTTTTTTGCACCCAAGCAACACCTTGCTCTGTTTTAGGCTCCGCCTCTAAGACTGAAAGCTGCTTCCTTACTCTCAGCCCAATCAGCAATCACCTGCACGCTATTTAAGGCCTGTGAAGCCATACTTCTGGGCCATCTGTCTGCCAAATACCTCTGTGGTTGTCTTAGCATCTAATGGGCTGCTAATTTTCTGCCATGTAAACCTACTCAGATATTTTTTGTAGGGGAGAGCCCCTTTTTTTAACCCCAGTTTTCTCCTCTTTATGTGCTTGTTAGGTAGGTTATTTTGTAGGCTTTTCATTTTCTTTTAGGGTTGTTTTGTTTGTTATTTTTTCCTGAGCTCTCCCTGAAGCTTTTACCATTATATACAATAATTTATTTAAAGAAATGGCAGAATAAACTTATTTAAATGCCTTTTAGACTCCTTGATTCCTTATGTTGGTGCCTTATACCTCCTAGACACAGCCGGGGGACGTAACAGCATTGATAATGGAACAAAATTCACTCTATACCACACTAGCTCCTGATAGTTCTAATCGAACAGCTTATATACAAGACATCCATCGACAAACGTTTTGATTGGACCCTTTTAAGGTCAGAGAACTAATGACTGGTGCTGAATCGTCTAAAATAGGCAGCAGTGGAGAACTGTTGGGATCCAGAGTTTGTTGGTGTTTTTTTTCTATGATTGGCACATTGACAATCAACCTCATGGTGGACCACTGGGTGGTTCGATGGTGCTGTAGACTTTATCCCACATTTTGGGCAGTTTTTTGACATTCCTACCTGGCCACATTCAATCGCCAACCGACAATCCCACTAAACTCCATCACATGCTGGTAATAATGTTATAAGTCAAATTTCCACTACCCTTTTGAAACCGTGCTGAGATCAGTCCGAGCACGGTAACAGAGATAACTGTTGAGTGTAAATGGCACGCACAACTGAACTGGACCGTGCCAGACACAGCTGAACCGCGCTACAATGGTACTAGTTCATCAGTAGGGCTCGGTGCAGTTCAGTTCTGGCTCAGTTCTCAGATAACAAAGAGTGCATGAGCGGACCACGTCATCTCGTTACAGCCTCCATAATCAGGAAATTTCAGACATTCATAAAAATACTAGCTTCCCTACAGTGCAACACGATTTCCAGTGATGATTCTGCTTAGCTAGGGTGACCAGACATCCTCTTTTTCCACAACATGTCCTACTTTTCATACCTAAAAAAATGTCTGGGGGGATTTTAGTCGACTACAGTGCAGCAGAATCAAGATGTCAGATCCGGGGACGGTCCGGGAACTCTGGCGGACAACGGGAGGGGGCCAGTGAGGGATGGGGCTGCAGCTACTGACCTGCCCGGTAAGACAGGCGGGGAGAAGCATACCGTCACCGGGTCGGGTCGCACCGTTCCCGGAGCATCCCTGGATCTCATGGCTCGGTTCGAATGCCCGGTCCGGTTCAGTCAGCAGCCCAGCAACCCCCCCAACAAAAAAATGTGTCTCTTTTTCCGAAGCCCAAATCTGGTCACCCAAGCTTAGCAGTGTAATGAACCTTAACGTTTGTCATTGTTTCATGTGTCTGTAATCCCTGATTAGACTATCGTTTGTTGCACTCACTTCCCAAAAGCAGACTCCGTCAAGTTCAGTCACAAAAGGCTGCCTTCTTAGCCTGACTCTCTATAAGCTTCCTGATTGTTATGGGCGCCACCATGTTGGTTTACTTGTTTCCCTCTAGAGAGCAGTAGTACCATAGATCGTCACTAGGAGGCGAGGAACAATGCTAGCGTGCTGTGTAAACGGTCGTAAGGAAACAAGTTTGGCATGGTTAACTGATCCAAGTTTGGCACGGATCGGATTTCAGAAGGTAGTGGAAATGGGGCTATAGTCACGGCTTTAACTGCCTGTCCAATACTCTAGAAAGTGCATTTAAATCATCGCTGTAGAATGTGAAGATTCAGGTGCAATTAGAGCAGCAATGCTTTAGGATACGCTAATGTTTGCTTCGTCCGAGAAATGTGCTCACCAGTGTCTAAAGTCATGTTTAGAATTACATACGACTCATTGAATGTGGACAGCCAGCGTGGAGATCAGTACAGATTAAACCAGGTATTACTCACAACGCGCCCTTTTTATGCATGTCAGTGCTGGCAACCTTTTTAAGCACATTTATCCTTGAGATCTTCCCTGATTTATTTTATTGCGAGAAAGACAGATCGTCAGGAGAGGTGGTTCATGGAGCTGAAATGATTAAATATCTATTAACAGAAAAGGTGCTCCTTACTGCTCTAAAGCCGGGCATACACTGTATGATTTTTTGGCCTTTTCGGGCAGATTCTCTTAACCTGACTCCGCCAGATGGATTTGCTCCGCATATCCATCTGGAAACCTTCCATTGAAGTAATTTTGGGAAGGGCCGAAAATACTGGTTAGCTGATTGGCCTATGTTGGTGATAGACGGGCCAAATAAACCAATCAGATCAACGAAGCATATGACGTACTAACAGAG